CGGGAGCAAACCCTGCCACAAGAATGGCGCCGCGGACCTGAGCTTCTGCGGTTGCTAACCCACCCCTCCCATCGGCCGTTTGAGGTGGGAATGCGGCAGCTCACTCTGAAATCCACCCCAGTGCCGGAGGTGGGGGGGGGCATCGCCACCCACGAGTGAACGTGACTTCAGCTCCTCCCACTCAGGTGGTAACACAGTGCCAAGGCACGATAGGACTGTGCGTAAACACAGGTGAGGAACCCAGGACCCCACAGTGCAGCTGTCAGTGAGAGTGCATTTCCTCTGTGCACAGAGACAGCAAAGCTTTGCCTGAGGGGCTCTGAGGACAGGCTTCAGAAAGCATGACTGTCCTCTAGGTCCCGCCTCTATAACCTCCAGTCACGAATGCCAAGGGCGCGTGAGGCCAGGTTGGTCACCTGTGGGTGCGGTCCCCATGACCACCGAGGTCAGTCCACCATGGGACATTGGCTGGGAGCTCTTGAGACTCAAGACCCAGAAGTGGGACATGCTAAGCGCATCTTGGAAAGAAACAGGAGGAGGCTCAGAGCCAGGGCTCCCACCCGCTCTCTCTCTCTCACCTGTTATTGTTGTAATATTCCAGGTAGAACCTCTTGGGCCGCGACAACTCCTCCACTCGGTGGGACACCGCTGAACGGAAATGGTCCAGTCACCACAGCTATCCTGGGCCCCAGCGGGAACCACCCTCCACCCCAGGGTTCTACTCAGTCCTCCACCGGTCCAGGCAGGGGGCACAGGCTAGAGACATGGGCAGACACTTTGCCAAAAGGTATCCACAGCCACCCTATCATAGGGAGAACAGGCATAATACAGAGGCCAGGATGATAAGACTATGGCTCCTTCCTCCCCAGGACTGAACGCGAGAGGCTCAGAAATGGGGTTTTTGTCAGAAGTTAGTGCCAGCCTAGGATTTCCAGGGCTTGTGGGCCATGGCTGAGTCTGGAGCCCCAAGAGAGACCCTGCTGGCTAGGCTCATCCACATGGGAGCTCTTGTTGGGAGAGGGCTTTATTTGAAGGAGTCCATGTTCTCAAAGAAGATGGATCCCACTTGGGGAAGAAGGTGGGATCTCCGTAGCACAAACACTAGCCCTGTCCAGATTTGCCTTGAAGACTCTGTCCTGAACCCCTTCCTCCGTGATGTGTCTACAGGATTCTAGCCACTCAGGGAGGTGGGGGAAGCCTGGGGAGGTGACCCACGTGGCCACATACTGAATGGAGCCAGCAGGCCCCAGGCTAGGCAGAGGACACCCAGGCTACCCTGGAGAGACGGAACCTACCAGGGACCGTGATGGTCAAGGTGGTGTCCTCGATAAATCGCTCGGTCCAGTATACAGAAGGCCTGGAATACAGCCGAGCAGCTCAGGGCAGAGTGCCCTGTGCCCTGTGCCCTGCTGGGGAAGGGAAGCCTGGGGCCCTGGAACATTGGATATGAAGCTGGGGAGCCAGGGAGGGCAGCCTGAGGAAATGGAAGGAGGACACGGAGGAAAGGAAGACTGGGCTGGACTAGGGCCGCGAGCACCAGGGGAAACAGATTATCTCGAGCAAGGCCCCTGTTCCAAGATGGGGCAGGGGGGCAGACCAAGTGCACTTTGGAGAGCTAGGCCCTCGGGTGTGCAGACGCTGCCCAGCAGGCCCAGTGCCCAGCAGGAGGCTGGGCAGTCCTAGCATGAGGGAGCCCCCATCCAAGAGCCCTCCACCCCCAGAACCTGGTCCCTGGAGAGAAGGCAGCTCAGGTGTACCCCTTGGCCTGGCATGTCCCTGACATGCACAGGTGACAGAGGGAGGGGACACCCCAACTCACCAATACAGGCAGAACTGCAAGTTGTTCTTGCGTGGGGACATCCAGGCATAGCCCTTACAACAGCACCCCTTCCTGCGGCGACGAGACAGGGTCCCAGGCCCTGCCTTTGCCTCTGGGTCCCCACTGGCTCCCAGATTCCTCACTCTCCACGAGTTACCACCCAAGGGCCCAACCCCTGGTGTCTGCCTGACGCTTCCCCGACACCCGTGTGTTCTCTAGGTGCCCTGCCCCAGGTGACGCAGGGAGGAGGAGGACGGGTTGGAGACGGGGTCAGAAGAGCACAGAGGGCCGGGGCTCCCATTGCCTCGCCACCTCATGGGCCCCAGCCCTCACCTGTCTCTCAGGCATTGCCAGTTGGTCTTGGGCTTTGCCAGCTCCAGCAGCCTACGGCCCTTCTTTTTCTTGCTCTTGGCCATGGAGACACTGGGAGTCCGCTCCGTGATGGACAGCTGGCTGCGAGAGAGTGTGGTGTCAGCGTCTGCTGGTCCACCTTGATGGGTCTGGGAACCTACAGAGCAGTCTGCCCTCCCCTCATCGGAAATCTTTGGTCAAGTCTGGGCTCCTGGTGCCTCGTCACTCTGTGAAGGAGTTTGGCATCACCCAGGCTCCCCACGGTTCATAAACTGAGCCCTGAGCCCATGGAACTGGAAGAAGCCAGCTCCCACCTCCTGGGGCTGTTGGGAGAAAGCGCAGTGCTCACTTGTTGTGGAATGTTACTTTAAGTAAGTAAAGACGTGCTATATTGTTTATGTTGCACTTGTCTAACCATGTAAAGATGTGTTGCATTGCCTGCCCAAGGCACCTGATTGGTCTAACAAAAAGCTGGACAGCCAATAGTTATGCGGGAGAGGGATAGGCAGGGCTGGCAGGCAGAGAGAATAAGTAGGAGGAGGAATCTAGGCTTGAGAGGAGAGAGAAGAGGGGAGGGGAAGGGAACAAGAGAGAGAGAGAGAATGAGGGAGAAAGAGAGTGAGCCACCCGGGGCCAGGCAGCCAGGCAGCTGCCAGACAGACAGACAGACACAGAAGAAGCAGGAAAAGTAGGACATACAGAGCGGAAAAAAGGTACAAAGCCCTGAGGCAAAGCGTAGATGAAGAGAAACAGGGTAAACTGAGTTAAAAGAGCCAGTGGGACGAGCCCAAGCTAAGACTGAGCACTCATGACTAATACAAGTCCGTGTCATGATTGGGAGCTGGTTGGTGGCCCAGGAAAGGTGGCACAGCACTTTTCTCACCAGTGTTTACTGAAGAGCTGCTGTGTGTCAGGACCAGAGCAGGCAGTTATCGACAGCTCCCAGCCTCTGGGAAGCTGGGGTCTCTAAGGGGAAGGACGATGGCCAGGATAGACGGGAATGTCAGTGTATGCCTCCTCCCGGCACCCACCTGCCCCCCAGCTCCCCGACACCTACCTCATTTCAACCACTTCCACCTCCAACTCTCGTCCAAGACTGTCTTCCAGATTGGGGGCCTCGGGGAGCTCTTCCCCAGGCACCTCCTCCGGGGGAATCTCTTCCTCTGGGTCTTCTGCGTCTACCCCTTCGGTGGCCTGGGAACCCTGGAGCCAGGGGCTCTCAAAGGACGCACTCTGGTGGCCCAGACCGCCATTGCCCAGACCGCCATTGCTCTGCCCATGCTCTGACCCACCTGAGGTCTTGGCCTCGGGGGCGGGGTTGTTAAGCAAACTGGCGCGGTGTTCGCCGAGTTCCCCCATGTGCTCGATCCCTTCTAACCCTCTAAACTCACTCCCTCAACACCCAAGAGCGTCTGTGGTTGCCACAGCAACAGGAGAATGCCCACCCGTGGATTCTGAGGCCCCCATTCCAGGGAGCCAGGTCTGAGGTGCACAGCTCAGGGGCCCACCATACATGTCTTTCTTTTGGAGTGGGGGACAAGGGGTGACAGGGTCTCACTATATGGCCCAGGCTAGCCTCAAGCCCAGCCTCCTGAGTGCTGAGATGGCCCATCTGCACTGGACTCCAGAGTCAAGCCCGGATTCAGATCTCACAGGAGGCTGTACCCCCTCCCATGGGTGGGTCTGTGGAATGCACGGGGATTTCTGGACATGGATTCTTCCTCTTTTTCCTTAAAAGAGACTGTGGGCGCCATGGGCCCTGGCCCCCGACTGGGAGTGGCTGCGGCCTTGCTTGCTTGACCTTGATCAGATGTCCTCCCTATTCAGATTCCCTGCCGGTATCCACACTTCTGAATGCTTAAGGGAAGTTCCTTGTTTGTGTATCCTGCATTTTGGGCGTTAACTACTTAGATGCAAGATTGTAGAACATTGGGTCTGGAATGTAGACCATTGACAGCGAACTTCTGCCCTCCGGGGGTTCCTCCATTTGTGCTGTAAGCCTGTACGTATTTAAGGTTTCTTCCCTCTTTCAATAAACGGCATTCGACATCCAATCATACGGATGACCCGCTGTCTCTTGTCTCTATTTTTTAATCCGCAGCCCTTCGCTCGGACATGGTGAACGGTTATCGGTAATGCTGGCGTTACCGCAACAAGAGACCTCATCTCTTCTTCCTATCTATGGTTGGGCCTGTTTTTAATGTCTGATGCTCAAGCAGCCGTTCCGTGGCCACAGAGCCTGTTAGTCTGATGACAGGTGACCCGATAGATGAGTCTTTGCTTTCTGGAGCTTCCCTCAGAGAGGGAGCTAGGTCTCTACTTCCTCCTCTGGCAGCTGACTCTCAGGTCCTCACAGCTCACAGTACTGCCACACAAGCAGACTCTGTCCCCAAGTTACGTAAGAAGTACCTTCCAAATATGCCACCATGCATCCTCACAGTGAGATTATGGCTCTGACAGAGGGTACTGCCAACACAGCTCCCATCTCCAGCCTGGACGTGTCGGGAGTTAATGGCACAGAGGACCTTGGCCCCCATTCCATGGCTACAGAGCCTTTACCTCCACCTTTACTGCCAGAGGAGGTCAAGGGGGGGTGGCAGGGGCAGGACCCAAAGGCGCTGTAGTACTTTGAATGTAACTGGCCCCCATAAGCTCACAGGGAGTGGCACCATTGGGAGGTGTGGCCTTGTTGAAGGAAGTGTGTCACGGTGGGGGCGGGCTTTGGGGTCTCTTTTGCTTAAGCTTCACTCAGTGTCAGTTTACTTCCTGTTGCCTTCTGATCAATATGTAGCCAGCACCATGTCTGCCTGCATGGGGCCATGCTCCTGCCATGATGACAATGGACTGAACTTCAGAAACTGCAAGCAAGCCGCTGCGATTAAGAGTTTTCCTTTATAAGAGTTGCTGTGGTCATGGTGTCTCTTCACAGCAATGGAAACCCTAACTGAGACAGGAGCCTTGGAGGCAATGCCAGTTCAAAGGTCACAACCAAGGGGCCAGACCCAGGGTGACATCCCAACCTCTGACAAGTGTGCTAGCTAACTTTGGCTGTCAATTTGATTGGATCTGGGGCCATGTAAGAGATCAGCCTGGCTTGTCTGTGAGAGCATCTCCAGGAAACATTAGCTGGTGGTAGGGCGGGGAGACAAGCCCGTAGAGTGGCAGTACTTTCCAGTCTGCCCAGTGACGGTAAGGTCTAAGGGGAAGGGAGACCTCCCTGCTGGCCTTTGCCTCTTGCTGGTGAGTGCGTCTATTCTGATGTTGCCTCCACCACTACCTGACATCAAAACCCAGCCTGTTCAGCTTTGCAAGGTGGACTGAAGACTAATGATTCTCCAGGATCCCTCCAGGCCTTCAGTGCCAGATCGGGACTGGTAAGACACCCAGCCTCGTGGACGAGACAGTTGCAAGGCACTCAACCTCTGCAGAATTCAGACGGCTATTGCTGCACTGTCCATCCCGTATCCCGTAAGACAATTTAACAAGTGCCCTTTGTTACATATGTTCATTCTGTCCCTTATGATGCCCTGGAGAACCCTGGCTAATGCATATCAAAGATGGAGGGACTGGAACCATTGCAGGCCCTGGGCATTCTGGTGATGGACAGAGGGACAGTCTACATCTTGGGGGTCCCAGGCAGGAAACAAAGTCCCTCCACTTCCTTGTTTGTGTGTTGAGGGAACCATGATGAGGTACCACAGGCTTAGCAAGAGAAAGCAGGACTGCTTAACTGTTTCTGTTCAAAATCCGTTTTCCTCTGAGAATTGTTCATATACCCCAGGAATAGCTATAAGAATAGTTGTACTGGGGGGGGGGGGCGCATGGCTCAGCAGCTAAGAGCACTTGCTGCTCCTCCTGGGTTTGGTCCAGCACCCACGTGCAGCTCACAGGTGCCTGTAACCCCAGCTCCAGGGCATCGGACACCGTCTCCCGGCCCTGGCAGGTCTGTTAGCTACTGTTCTATCGCTGCGAAGAGACACTATTGAAAGGGTATACAGTGCTGGTAGCTGGCACTGGTTACCGTGGCGGTGCTGGTCACAGTCACGACAGAACCCAGTGGTACCCTTTAGAGCTTTATTAGGAGAAGGAGAGAGAGAGGAGAGAGAGAGAGAGAGAGAGAGAGAGGTGCAGAGAGAGTGTGGGGGTGCATGTTCGGCTTTTAGGCTGGGACGCAGTCGCCCGCTGATGACGTAATAAGGCACCAGACAAGACCCCCGAGCTGCACATATACAGAATGCTTACAACTATGACCAAGGCAACTTATAAAAGAAAAAATTTAACTGGAGGCTTGGTTACAGTGTCCAAGGGTGAGCCCATGGCCACTATGGTGGGAAGCATGGCAGCAGGGATGCAGGCATGGTGCTGGAGCAGTAGCTGAGACATTACATCTTTTCCATAAACGAGATGCATAGAACAAAAGAGACTGGGCCTGGCATGGGCTTTTGAAACCTCAAAGCCCAGCCACAATGACACACCTCCCCCAACAAGGCCACACATCCTCGCAATGTGGAGTAATCCTTCTGTACATTGTAAATATGTATTGCTCTCATTGTTAATAAAAAGCTGACTGGCCAAAAGCTGCACAGGGGTTGGGTGAGACAGCCTGAGACACAGAGAATGCTGGGATGAAGAAGGGTGGAGTCAGAGGAGTCACTAGCCAGATGTAGAACAAGTTGGACACACAAAATGGGATAGAGGTAAAAGCCACGAGCCTTGGGGCAGCACATGGATTAATAGAAATGGGTTAAGTTGTAACAGCTAGTTAGTAACAAGCCTGAGCTATTGGTCAAGCATTTGTAATTTATATTAAGTCTCCGAGTCAGTTATTTGGGAAGTGGCTGCCAGCTTAGGAAAACTCCATCTATGTCCTAGTCACCCCAAAACAGTTCCACCAACTAGGGACCAAGCATTCAAATATATGACAGATATTCTCATCTAAACCACCACATTCCACTCTCTGTCCCCTACAAGCTTGTAGCTACATCATAATGCAAATACATTCAGTCCACTTCAAAAGCTACCATAGCCTTTCACAATCTCAACACTGTTTAAAAGTCCAAAGTCTCTTCTGAGACTCATGGCATTCTCCCTAACTGTAACACTTAATAAAATCCAATATGCCATGGCACAAGATATACATTACCATTCCAAAAGGAAAGGGGACACAGTGAGGAAATGCTGGACCAAACCTCAGCAGGACAAAGTCCAAATCCAGTGTCTCTAAGTCCTGTGTCAAAGGGCTTATTCGGCTCCACCCTTCCAGCTTTGTTGACTGGAATACATTTCTCTCTCTTGGGCTGGTTCCACGTGTGTCTGCAGCTCCCTTGGTCAGTATCCCACAGCTCTGGCTATTGGTTTTATCGGTGCTCTTACCCTGCGAGGAAAAGTCACGGAACACAATAAAAATCTAGTAACAAGAGTTTTATTAAGAAAAGGAGAAAAGGACAGGGAGTGATCAGGCCTCCTGGAAAGACACAGGAAGAGAAGGGGGAGGGTACGTGTGATCCACCTTTTAAGGACTACCCTGTGCATGCACACATGGGCCCACATGGCTACTCCACGCATGCGCATAGATCACATGGTCACGCCACGCACTATTTATGTGACCACACAGCGCATGGATTATGTAGGATGTATGGCTCAGAAATGACTAGGCAGAATTGACTAAGTGTCTCACCAGGGCATGTGCGGATCATGGGGGCGTGGCTAGGATTCCTATCACTGGGGTCTCCAAAGTCTTGGGGTCTCTAAGACAATCCAGGTTTGACCTTCACAGCTTCATGCAATGGCCTCTCCAGGCCTCCATGCAGGGACACCCCTGACACGTGCCTGGCCTTGGCAGCTTTCTTTAACTGCAGAGGAAGAGTCCACAGTCCTTTACCTCTTGTACATTTCTTTGACAAAGCCAGAACTATTGTGTGATATTTTGTTTGTGTTCTGACAAAGCTTGCTTGGAGTCAGAGGGCAGAGTTAGCCGTAGAGATCTGGAGGTCTGTACAGAGAGGAACAGGAAGTGGTAAGGCAGGGCAGACAGTCCCTTTTGGACTGGAAGAACAGAGGAGAAGAGACTGTGGCTGCTCCCCTGCTTCTCTGACCTTTCAGGTTTTACTCCAATATCTGACTCCTGGTTTTTACTGATAAGATCACTTAGATTTATGCTTCATCTAGCATCTAACTTTTGGGGCATGAATCCCCATAGCCGCTTGCCTGTGGCTTTGCAGCCGCTGGCACCCCCTGGAGTCACAGCACTGCCGGCTAGGTTTTCCCTTTCTTCCCCAAGCCTTCTGAGCAAGTCTGGAATTGTCCTGTTGCAGCCTCTCCACAGTAATCTCCACAAGCACCAAACACCACAGGCCCCTGGGCTCCAGACACCGCAGGAGTCAGCCCCTCACCATCCCACCTGCCTTCAGGCAGCTCTGTGCTCTCACTCCCTGCCGGTCACCAGTGCTGCTTTTGTGCTTGGCGCGAGCAGGCAGCAGGCTCTTTGGCTCCTTTTCCTGTGTGGGCTTTCCCTGCACCCCCTCCTCAGGCTGCTGACATGCCATCAGTGGCAGCTGCCCTCAGCCAGGCTGTGCACCCCTGTGTTCTCTGCCCAGATGTGCTACACAACAGCAGTCAGCACCACACTTCAGCGGCAGCAGCAGCAGCAGCAGCAGCAGATTTGGTGAGACAGTTGGGAATTCTTAAAAGGGAGAGTTAGTTTTAAAAAAAAAGTCTTTTCTCACATTAAAAAATGGGAAACACTATTAAAATTAGGAGTTAGGACTCTGCATGACTACACAATGGATGGTTTGGAAATAGAACAATTAAATGAGGAGATAATTAACTTTGATGGGATTTACGTAATGTCAATTACTATCATTATCAGTTTGGTAATTCTTGTTTTATCTCTAAAAAAGTTGGTTGATATCAGTGCCAAATATGAGAAATTTGATAAGATACAAACCTTAGAAAAACTTGCTATTCATAAGATACAGGACTTAGAAGAGGTTACTACTGATAACATGCAAGCCTTACAAATAATTACTAAAGAAAATAATGCAATTTTGACTGATAAGTTACAAGCCTTAGAAAAACTTATTAAAATGGATAATAGAGATATTCAGACACAGACAGAGGAATTTAAAGAAAAACCAACCTCATCATTATACTATAAAATTAGAGAGGAACAATCCTGTTAGAGAGGTGGCAACTGCCGTGATTAAAGGGCTCAGGCATTGGTATAGCAATGTGTTTGTGGCTTCGATGATTAGGTCTTTTGAGTAGAAGCCTGTAAGAAAGAGTATTTCGGTGAGGGCTAAGCTGCTGATCGTTAGGCATGATGATGTAACAAGGTTATCAAATAACCAACCTTAATTTATCTAGTCACCTGACTGGAACTGTCAAATGATGGGTATCTCCAAGGCTGTGTAAGAGCTGCCTGGACTCCTGTGGAAATGGTAGATTTGAGGAGATTTAAGAAAGTGATAGTCTCATGTGGTATGCATTCACCTTTTGTGAAGCAGATGTTAACTTCATGGTCAACTAGTAACAGAATTGTCCCACAAGACTGGAGAGACTTGGTTACAGCAGTATTGGAGCCTGGTCCTCAATTACAGTGGAGGATCTGGTGGAAAGATGAGGCTAGGACCATTGAACAATGAAGTAGGACTAGAGGTGTTGAAATTTCCCAAGACCGACTTCTTGGAGAGGGAGATTACGCTCATGTACAAATAGTCTCTATATGATGACCACACCCTGGCTCTATGCCAAGCACCAGCTTTGAATGCTTGGGACAGAATTGAAGAAGTCAGAAAGAGAACTGAGTCATTTACTGAAGTTATACAGGGCCCAAAAGAAACCTTCACTGATTTTTTTACAAAGATTGACTTCAGCTGTAAATAAAATGATAACAAATTCAGGAGCTAGACAAATACTAATTGAATCTTTGACTTTTGAAAATGCTAATTCAGAATGCAAAATGATAATTAGGCCTTTAAAGGCAAGATCAACACACATAGATGAATGGATTAGAAAACTAACTTATAAGACCATAAATGCTTTTCATTTGCTCAGACATAACTTGCCAAAAGGGAAACTCCCCAAAGTTAGCATTGGGGCAGGGTTTTGTTTTTGTCTTTCCAGAAGTATGAAGGCATCCAGCTAAAAAATCTGAAGACCACTGAACAAATGAGGCATCTGAAGAAAAAGAATGAATCATCCAGAGAAAATGTACCAAGAAAAAGAGTAAATTGGCCTATTGGTATATCACAGTTCCAACAGGATAAAATTTCATAAATCTTCCCAAATGTTTGTTTCTGCTGTTCTCTACAGACTCATAATGCAAATAGTCTTTTTGTATTCCCAGTTCAATTAAAAAGGAAAGCTGAACTGGGTGGTGGTGGCGCACACCTTTAATCCCAGCACTTGAGAGGCAGAGCCAAATGGATCTCTGTGAGTTCAAGGCCAGCCTGGTCTACAGAGTGAGATCCAGATCAGGCACCAAAACTACACAGAGAAACCCTGTCTTGAAATAAATAAATAAATAAATAAATAAATAAATAAATAAATAAATAAATAAATAAAGTAAAGCTGGCTTTGGAGTTGGAGTGTGGCTCTCTCCTTCTCTAAACCCAAGCATGCTTGTTAAAGGAAAATGCAAAATCCCTGTCTCATGCCAGAAGAACCACCTGATATGGAACAGAAAAAAAACAAAATTAAGGGATTATTCTATTGCCACTAATCTCATAATTCTTTGGTTTTATTTTGACTCTTTAAAATTTTTCTTAAGGTATAAATATCTCAAAATTTATAAAATTAATATATATATATATATATTTCAGCTTTTTGTCATGATGTTACTGGACATGTAGAGAACTAATTCTAGAAAATGGCTTTAACTAACTTCTTGTACATGATTTCAGGTTTGAGTCTCTATCAGGTAACTAGAAATTAAGTTTTTGTACTCTGGTTATGCATAACAAATTATGGTCCTTTAAGCTCTTCTAAATCTGCTGCATATGACATTTAAAATGTTTAAGTTTTCTGTAATGACCATGATTACACCTAACAGTGACCTTTGAAGTTTCCAAAAGGAGCCCCACAATGATGATTCCACTGGGACTATGGTAATGCCACTAAGCTGACAGACACTGCCTAAAGATCAGCATTGAACTACAAACTGTTCAGGACAATTTCAAGGTGGCTAGAGGAGATGGTCCAGCCTCACAGACTACTCTAGCCAGGATTTGAGACAAGCCCTGCACTTTCCCATTTCACAGAAACTAGATAACAAATGATACAGCTAGCTCTCCCAGGACTTGACAATTATCCCAATTTTTTTCAGGGTCCCCTAAAGATGCCATGATCCCCAGACAGCAGGAAGTAATTTTAAGAACACAATGCCCACATTCCCAAGAGGGAAGGTGGGCAGTTTTTGGTCATTCAGTGGGTTATGGTTATTGTTTAGGGGGATTAGTTACAAGTTGTTATTGGTAATGGTCAGGAAAAATATCTCAACAAAGGAGATTAGATTCGGGGATCTCATTCTAAAAAGAAAAAGGGGGGATATAGACATAGGATAAAAGGGTAGGTTATTAAATTTACCTTTAAGCCAAAAAAAGCAACTATTAGTCTTAAATATTTTTGCATTGGTGTGGATTTTTCTTTCTTTTTTTTTTTAAGATATTATTTATTTATTTATTAGGTTTGCAGCATGTATGACTGTGGCCAGAAGAAGGCGCCAGATCTCATCACAGATGGTTGTGAGCCACCATGTGGGTGCTGGGAATTGAACTCAGGACCTTTGGAAGAGCAAGTAGTGCTCTTAACCTCTGAGCCATCTCTCCAGCCCCGGTGTGGATTTTTCATATACTGATACAAATTTGAGGTTATTTTTGTTATACTGTATCTGTTTCTACACTTGTTTAAGATATTTTTGTATATTGATACAAATTTAAGGTTATTTTGGTTAGAACATACTGTACATATGTTTCTACTCTTGTTCAAGGTATTGTACCTATACAGCTCATTTAACATTGTAATGTATATTTCTAATTCTTGAAAGTTATTATTACAAACTATTTAGGATAATAAAGAAAAGCAAGTTAGTAGTTAGTCACCTATTATAATCAAACTTGTAGTCATGTTAGATATATTTTCAAGGTCAAACAGAGATGTATTTTAGATAGACAGGTAGTCTTCAAATGCTTCAGAGATGTACAGAATATGGCATTTAAGATGTTTTAAAAATATACGTTTTTTTTGTTTTTTTTTTTTTTTTTTTTTAATGAGAATGAGACATGTCTGTGCCTGGCAGATCCAATATACTTCAGAGATAATGGGTATTGAAGAAACTCCATATGGAGTTTACTTTCTTTGTGGCAAAAGTTAGCCACTGGGCAAGAAACTGCCCTTGCCTTGACTGCTGACAGTATGCTGTCCAAATTGGACAAGCAGGACAGAAAAGAAAGTGACTGCTGAACTTTGCAAAGACAAGGCAAAATAGTCCTTCAAAAATCCTGCTTCACAGATAAGTCTGTCAGATATTCCAGGCCTGCAGGCCAAATATGGATGCCCCAGCATTGCAGAGGAACCTTGGATGACATCCAGCCAACTGTTACTGTCATTTCTTATTTTTGGAAGTTGTTTGTTCTACACTTCCTGTTTACTCAGGTAATAGTATCCTTCTCAGGTCTCTGATGGAGTTGAAGACCAGATAGCTATAGTTTTCCTTGTTAATAAATTCAGAAAAGAAACTCACAAAAGAGGTGTAAAGTGTATAAGATTGAGAGACATAAAAGATAGTTTTGGGATGGTAATGCAAGTTAGGATAGAAAGTGAATTAAGTACAATACTTTGGACTCACCAAGATAGGGTAGATAATGGAGTGTTTTCTCTGAATTTGTTAAATTGTTTTGTAATTTGACATTGTTAAAGTAATTCTTGCCTGTATATATTTGTATATAGTGATTGTACTTATTGTATATAGTTTTTCTATGCTAGTTAAAACCTTTGTTTTTTATTTAGACAAAAAGGGGGAAATGTGTGATATTTTGTGTTCTGACAAATAAAGCTTGCTTAGAATCAGAAGGCAGAGCTAGCCACTAGTTAACCATAGAGGTCTGGAGGTCTGTACAGAGAGGAACAGGAAGTGATAAGGCAGGGGAGAGACAGGATCTCAGTCCTTTTGGACTGGAGGGACGGAAGAGGAAGGAAGAGACTGTGGCTGCTCTCCTGCTTCTCTGATCTTTCGGGTTTTACCCTGATATCTGACTCCTGGTTTTTATTGATAAGATTAATTACATTTACTCTTCACAAAACCACAGGACTGAAGCTGCCAAGTTCTCCTGCCTGCTTGGGATGGATCCTGGCCCCTCCTTAAATTAATTTGCATAAACTTCAACTTATTAACACTCTTTTAAAACAAATCATTCCTTGGGCCTTTTCCTTTTACAGGTTGCAGGGTTAGCTGGGTGTAGTCTTTCCCTGAGGGTACCTCTCCCTTTATTCCATTTAGCACCAGGATTTTCTTTAAACTTCTCATTTCTTTGAGCACATGGCTTGGTTCCAACAGTCCATTACCTGGTGCTCTTTTTCTCCTCAAACTGTACATTTTGCATTTATTTTGCCTCACTTGCTCTTTTTCATTATACATCTGCATAAGAGTGATTACTATGCTGGGCGGTGGCGGTGCACGCCTTTAATCCCAGCACTTGGGAGGCAGAGGCAGGCAGATCTTTGTGAGTTCGAGGCCAGCCTGGGCTACAGAGCGAGATCCAGGAAAGGCACAAAGCTACACAGAAAAACCTTGTCTCGAAAAACCAAAAAAAAAAAAGGAAGAAAGAAAGAAAAAAAAAGAGTGATTACTAAAAACCACATATCACAGTCAATACCAGGCTGTCTTGTGCTGTGGAATATTTGCTTAACTAGGCAAAGATATGATACATTTGTTTATGTTATAGAATATTCCTTTTAACTATGTAAAGATGTGTTACATTTGTTTAACAATGTAAAGATGTGTTGCTTTGTCTGCCTAAGGCACCTGATTGGTCTAATAAAAAGCTGAATGGCCAATAGCTAGGCAGAGGAGGGATTGGCAGGGCTGGTGGGCAGAGAGAATAAGCAGGAGGAGGAGTCTAGGCTCAAGAAGAGGGAATTGAGGGAGAAAAAGAGGGAGATGCCCAGAGCCAGACAGTCAAGCATCCACCGGACAGACAGACACAGAGTAGGGAAGTAGGACATACAGAATGAAAAAAAGGTAAAAAGCCCTGAGGCAAAGCGTGGATGAAGAGAAACAGGTTAAATTAAGTTATAAGAGCCTGTGGGACACGCATAAGCTAAGGCTGAGCATTCAAAATTAATATTAAGTCTTCATTCATGTCATGATTTAAGAGCTGGTTGGGGGCCCAAGGAAGCCTGCTGCAGTCTTGAAATCTCTGCTTACAACATTGATCCAACACTCTCCCATTAGCTTCAGGAAGATTTTTAGGACAAGGGCAGAAATCAGTCACGTTCTTTGCTAAAATATCACAAGAACGATCTAGTCCAGTTTCTAACATTTTTCCCCTCTGAAACCTCTTGAGTGGGACCATCATTGTCTACATTTCTCCCAGCACCCTGCCTTCCATGCTCCTAGTGGCATGGCCCATTAAGCTCCACTTAAAGCGTTCAGCCACTTCCCTAATCCAACTTCTGTCATAGTGTCCTGTGGCTGTGAAGAAACACCATGACTAAGGCAATTTATAAAAGAAAACATTTAGTTAGGGGCTTGCTTACAGCTTCCTAGCAAGTCCATGACCATCAGGCAAGGATCCCAACAGCAGGCAGGCAGACATGGTGCTGGACAGGAGCTGAGAACTTACATCTGACCCACAAGCTGGAGACAGAGAATGAGAGACTGAGTCTCCCATGGGCTTTTGAAACCTCAAAGCCCACCCAGTGATGTACTTCCAGCAAGGCCACACCTACTAATCCTTCCCAAAACAGTTCCACCAACTAGGGACCAAGCATTGAAATATATGAGTCCACGGGGGCCATTCTCACTCACACCACCACAGCAGGGACCTGCACACGCATGGCACACACTCACATGCACATAAAAACACGAATAAGATGCCAATGAGATAGCTCGGTGTTAACAGTGAAAGACCCTAACCCTTCAGGCTTACACCCCCGAGCCCCAGGAAATGAGAAACTAAAAATCTAGTTCCAAGGGCAAGCTGACTCAGCCATTATTCAACCACCCTTGCTACAATGTAACAATGTAAAAAGATTTCTGTTAAGAGATGTGCTCAACTGTGACTGGGATAGTTGCAAGTGTTCCAGGAAGGACCACTGTGACCTTTGTGTAAACTCCACTCCTGCCCTGATACCCCCCTTGAGGTTTCAGGAAGAATGTACATGTGAACGTGACTGTACCCACTCTGTGATCAGACCATGATCTTGTGAAACGAAATTGTATGGGAATTGTAACCTTATGGCTTTTGTGGGTTTTCCTTTAAAAGCACCCATGTGGCTACAGTAAGATGCGACTCTTGCTCTCAGGACAAGAGTAGCCCATCTGTACAGATGCTTCAATAAAAACCTCGTGCTGTTGCATCAACTGGACTGGAGTCTGGGTTCTTGGGGTGCCCACTTGAGACCCTAGATTTTGGGGTCTAACAACAGCACTCACTGCTCTTCCAGAGGACATGGGTTCTTTTCCCTGTATTCACATCAGGTGGCTCATAACTGCCTGTGACTCCAGCTCCAGGGGATCTGACAGCTTTCCGCCTTCCACAGGCACTGGGCACACGTGATACACATAAAAAAAAAACTGTGCACATATACAAAAACAGATCTTTAGAGAGAAATTTTAAAATTAAAAAATCAGATTGTCTCCCCAAAAAAGGTATAAAAATCAGACTTTAGGGGGCTGAAGAGATGGCTCAGCTGTTAAGAGCACTGGTTGCCCTTCCAGAGGACCCAGGTTCGATTCCCAGAACCCACATGGCAGCTCACAACTGCTTGCAACTCCAGTTACAGGAGATCCAACACCCTCACACAGACATGCAGGCAGGCAGAACACCAATGCACATAAAACAAATAATTAACTTTAAAAAATAAGACATTTAGTGACCATGAATCATAAAAAAAAATTGTTCACAATTTTTGGTATTCGATGTAATTTTACTGCTCACAAACAATGAAAGCAAATTTGAGCACTAATGAGATGATGTGCTCATCTGTTTTGACATCATTAACTGGTTAAAATGTTTGATCATGGAACGTAAAACAGCTTCAATGTTTTTCAGCCAATCAGTGTTCCAATCTGACCATCACCAGTGCTGAGAGTACTACTTCATATGTGTGCACAGTGCAGAATGGCCCAAGTGTGTGCAAGGCCGCTGTCTTTATGTGTGTGTGTGTGCAGGTGCGCATGCTTGTGTGCGCTTGTGGAGCCTGCAGGAGGTCGGATGTGTGTGTGTCTTTATCTGCCCCCACCTCTGGCCTGTTACTGGCTGCTGCTGCTTTGAGACAGAATCTCTTACTGAACCGGAAGCTCGATGCTCCAGCTAGACTGGCTGGCTTGCCAAGGAGCTCCTGAGACTGGCCTGACTCTGCTCCCCAACACTACAGCACATGCCACCATACCTGGCTTTTAACAATTTTTTTTTAAATAAAACGCAAGTCAGCAACTCAAACAGCCATTTTTAAAATCAAGCATTCTAACAGAAAACGACCCATCGACACATTCATTTGATACACAGGGTGGGATGACAATCCTAAGTCTTTGTTTTCCAAAATTAAACCATTATGTTTCTATGAGAGCAGAACGCGTTTTTCGTACAATTTGAACAACACAGTCATACACAGTAGGCCTACCATTGAGGGATTTTGGTGACACTGGTCACTGCTCGTCGTAAGGGCACCAGCATGCTGCACGTCCAGAGCTGCGGTGAAGCTGTGCAGTGCTGTACAGGAAAGTGAGGCCAGAGACATCTCAGTCTTGTTATTTTTTTTTTATTTAACTTTATTTTATGTGCATTGGTGTGAAGGTGTCAGATCCCCTGGAACTGGAGTTACAGACAGTTGTGAGCTGCCATGTGGGTGCTGGAAATTGAACCTGGGTCCTCTGGAAGAGCAATCAGTGTTCTTAACCTCTAGGCCATCTCTCCAGCCCCAGTCTTGTTATGTTTTTTATTTTGAGTTTCTTTTTGGCTGTTTTATACTCCAAAATCTCTAACTGTTGTCCAGTTTTCCACACCCTCCCCATTCAGTCCTGTATGGAGTTGCAGCCCCCACGGTTTTTAAGAAACCTGGGGCCCATCCCTGTTGGTCCTGTGAACCAGAGTCCGAGTGGCCTCCCCAGCTGATGTTAATGAAGGACCCACTGTAGGCCTGACGCTAAGACCCAAACTCTTCTATGGAAGAGCTCCCTGGCTTTGACTGCACACCTCGCGGGACCTCAGCTGTGTTCAGACAGCGCACACTCAGGAAGAGCCTGGCCTGACCCCAGGGACACAGCGAGGGAGGAGACAGAAAGAGCCCCACCCTGTCCGCGCAAAGACGGCTGTGGGAGAGAAAGCACCACACAGCAGCCCAAATATGTTCACAGTCAGGCCAGCCCAACCCTGAGAGTAGCCACGCAGCTCAACCGCAGAGGAAGCCACACAGGACAGCAGTGCATAGGGCGGGAGCATACGACTTTGGCTTTGACAGACACAGATCAGCCAATACCAAAGATTCCAAACGCGTCCCCAGATGCACATCACCCTGACTTCAAACAACCCACATCGTTCCCCGTGTGGGACCTATCCCCATAATGCAGGTTGCTCCCCTCTGTCCTGCCACTGTATTTACTCCTCAGTCCTCCTCTCAGGCCCCTTCCCTCTTCCACCTTCCACTCAACCCCCTCTCCTCCTCCATCCTCCCCTGAGCCCCCTCCCCACACCCGTCCCCCTAACCGGTATGTACAGCATACATACCGGCATAGCTTCTTCCGGCATAGCTCGGCTCCTGGCTGCCCTTAACTCCCTGGATTCCCTGCCCTGTCTCCCCACCCCCGCCCCGTTTCTCTCCGCATCGGAACTTCTTGCTTCTCTGTCCTACTTCCTAGCTCTTCTTTCCCATTTGTTTTGGTCCTCGGCACTTCTCCGGTTCTCCATTTCAAAGCGGACACGATGTTTCCCGCTGCGCGAGTTGCAGAGAGGTCTTGAGGATGGAGATTCTCCCGGGACCGCTCCACTCAGCGATGCTTCCAGCCGAGACTGTGGTGATGCTCGTGGTGACCACTAGGTGGCAGCCCCCTCACGGCTACGGGTACCCTCCTGCAACAAGGAGGAGGCTCCCGGCTTAGCGTCCTGGTCTCCCCACAGCCGGGCAGCCTTGACAGACCAGAAAGAGGTGCCAAAAAGCTTGCGTGCATGGAAACTACCATTGAACAAAGCTTAGAGCCGAAGCATCGTTCCTGGGACTATCGCCTGCCTCTGAAGGGTCACGGGTGTCCCAGAGACCAAGGAGGTCTGTTTTCCAGGGGATGGTGCCCCAGAGGAGAGCAGGCTTGAAACCATCAATACAAAGGCAGCACCCAGGGCCTGGCCACCAGCACAAGTGTGGGGCTGCCTGGATTCCCTGGGCACCCGAGGCTCCTCTGGAGACCCTGCTGCCCCAGCAGCACCGACATGTTCTTCTGAGAACAGAGATCTCTTCTGAGATCCCACAGAGTGGTCAGAACTAGGAAATGAAGCACATAGAGGTTGGGGGTGTTTGACCCCTGCTGCCTGGGAACCTAAGCTATCCATCAACTTCTGTTCGCGCCTTACAGGATCTTTCAAGGTGTCCTTCTCTGGCGGCCAGGCAAGACTGTTTTCCATTTGTGTAGAAGCTTCACGTCCTCCACCACCTGATTGCTTTCCAGGAGTGCTCTGGAGGTAATCTACAGGAGACCTTCCATTTGGGCCCCTCTGCAGGGACCGCCAACTGATGAAGGTTCAGGCTGGGCTGTACCTCAGTGTCAGGACACGCATAAGGTCGTAGGTTCAAACTCCCGCACCAGAAAGGCAGGGAGGAACAAGACAGACATGGACTCATTCTTTCACAGTTCTGAGCCTCCAAGTCCGAGCTACCTCTAAAGCTGGGGTGTCGGCAGGGCTAGGAAACTTGAAGAGCAGATCTGAGCTAGGCAGTGGTGGTACACACCTTTAATCCCAGCATTCGAGAGACAGAGGCAGCCCGATCTCTGTGAGCAAGTTCCAGGACAGCCAGGGCTACACAGAGAAACCCTGTGGGGGCGGGGGGCGAGGGAAGAACAGATCTGAGAAGCCAACACACGCGACATTGAGCCAACTCAATAAACAGTAGCAGAGTCGAGACATTACCACACTTAGTAGTGTGGCCAGAAAAGTATGGGGCAGGGTAGGGGGCACAAGTGGACCCTGAGCCGTGAGGCCTCTGCGGGGGGGGGGGGGGGGCAGCTGCGGGAGGCCCAGAGCGGGAGGTTTGAGGCACATACACTCCCAAGAGCAGGGATCTGGGAAGGGCTGTCTTCATGCTCAGACAGAGATGGGGAGCCCAGACCTCACGGCTGATTTTCAGCCTAAGTCCTGTGTCTGGCTAATATCTGGCTTGGGGTTTTTATTAAAAGACCATGCAATGAACTGCTATATGGTCTTTTTATAAAATAAATAAATAAATAAATAAATAAATAAATAAATAAATAAATAAATAAATAAATAAATAAATAAATAAATAAAATAATAAAAAACCCAGAACCTAAATTGGGGTACATGCTGAAAGATCAGAGAGACAAAGGAACAAGCCATGTCTTACCTCCAGGACTACTCAATCTGAAAAGCTTTCCTTAGCCGAAAGGCTGTAGTTCCTGTCTCCTCATGCCTTATATTCCTTTCTCTGCCCACCCTTATCATTTCCTGTCTCAGCTTTGCTAGTGCTGGGATTAAAGGTGTGTGACTCCCAAACACTGGGACTAAAGGTGTGTGCCACCACTGCCTGAATCTGTTTCTGTCCTAGACTGAGTCAATGTAGTCCAGGGTGGCTTTGAACTCACAGAGATCCAGACGGATCTCTGCCTGCCAAGTGCTAGGATTAAAGGTGTGTGTTACCACTGCCTGGCCTCTATGTCTAATCTAGTGGTTTGTTCTGTTCTCTGATTTTTAGGCAAATTTATTGGGGTACAAAATATGTCACCACATTTTCCCTTTTTTGTCTAAAATAATAAAAGGTTATAACTAATAGAAAAACTATATACAATAAGTAAATAAATATATATAATATGTACAGTCAAGAATTACATTAGCAATGTCCAGTCCATTAACATTTGACAGATTCAGAGAAAATATTCCATTATTTATCCCATTTTGGTGAGTCCAAAATGTTGTACCTAATTCACTTTCTATCTTAACTAGTATTACCAACTCAAAACTATCCTTTGATGTCTTTCAAACTTATACACTTTACACCTCTTTAGTGAGTTTCTTTTCTGAATTTGTTAACAAGAAAAACTATAACTATCTAATCTTCAATTCCCTCAGAGACCAGAGAAGGAAATAATATTACCTAAGTAAACAGGAAGTGCAAACAAGCAACTTCCAAAAAATGTGAGAAATGACAGAAACAGCTGGCTGCCTGACAGTCACCCAGGGTTCCTCTGCAACATTGGGGCATCCATCTTCCGCCTACAGGCCTAGCACATCTGACAGACTCATCTGTGAAGCAAGATTTTCTAAAGAGCCTTCCTACTTTGTCTTGGCAAGGCTTGGCAGTCCTTTCGTGTGTGTGTGTGTGTGTGTGTGTGTGTGTGTGTGTGTGTGTGT